GAGTTGCTTCCTTAGTTCGTCCAGTTCGGGCTGGGTCAGTCGGAACTGTCGCTGTACTGTTGGCTGTGCCCCCGGTTCCAACTCTATTCTGTGATCGTGCGGTCGCTGAGGTGGCAGTCCCGTCGGTAAGTCGTCCGGGAAAATGTCGCTGTACTGTTTCAACAGTGCTGCCAGGTCACTCGGTACGTCGGTCAGCAGTTTCTGCAAATCCCCTCCCTTGTCTGCTGCCTCGGCTTCCCGAATGTCGACCGCGTACACATCAGCTCCTGCCGCTACGGCGCGTTTCATCGTGATCGCGTTGACACGCACCGACGAAGACTCAGGCGAGCCCCAGCGAGGTAGGGCGATGTTGTTACCGTTCACTCGCACGGTGCAGTCACCCGTCGTCCACTCGATTCGCGGATTGTGTCGTCGCAGCCAATCACGCCCGAGTAAAATATCGGTTCCGTCGAGGGTCGTTGCGAGCATTTCCTGGCTAAACGTGAAGTTACCCCCACATCGAATCCGAACTCGGTCTACGCGTTCCCGTATTGCCAGCGGCGTGCCGTCTACCAGTCGTGCGTCGATCTCAGGTAAACATCTGTCCAGTGGCAGTCGCAGTTTTCGTGCTGTAGCAGTGTTGATGAGGCTGTGGCTGGCTCACCCGTCTACGAAGATTTTAACGAAGTCCGTCCCGATTTTCCCACTAAGCAGTATGGGGTTGTCTACCGTAGTCCCCTCCTTATTCGGCTGGGTGTGGTCGATTGCGTGAACCGGCACAATCACTCGGTGAGGGTCGGTTGGGTCGGGCGAGCGGCGTGACCTGTCAGTAGAGGGCCCATCTGCTACTGACTCCCAGCGTTTCCCTGCTGCTTGGTCTATTTCTGCTGCTCAGCTTCCCCCTTTCCCTTAGCGTTTTCCGGGCATTCGCTCTTGCGATGTCCCGGCCGATTGCACGCAAAGCAGCGCCCTTTGAACGGTGTGGCAGCGGCATTTGCGGCGACGGCACGTATCGTAGCGCCCTCGTTCGTCCCACGAGGCCGATGTCCCCAATGGCTGCTTCCGTAGGACCCCGGTCTCGGTAGGCGGAAGAAATCAAGTTTCTCCGCCATAGCGAGAATTTCTTGAAAGTCGGTGACGCCGCGAAGCTGGATTTCCTGAGCGATGTCCTGCTTCAGGCCGCCGATGTAGCGGTCGATGCGCTCGCTCTCGTGCATATATCCCACCTGCTCGCATAGCGCCAGAAATCCACTCGTATAATCTTGGACGGAACCGAGTTGGCGCCAAGTGCGGAGCTTCTGTCGCGCCGCGATCGAAGCCGCGATTGGCTCGAAACGAGCGCGCAGACCTGCGCACCACGCGTCCCACGTGCGATACTGGGGCACCTCCACGAAATACGACGGCGCCCAGGGTCCGGTTTGTCCTTCCCGTGTCGGTAGAGTCGCGTAGTCCACCGGCTTCGTGACGATGACGCGCCACCAGTCCATGGCGGGTCCTCGCAGCAACGACACGGCGTAGCGAATCTTCGCCGTATCCTCCGAGACGTAGTTCGCGTCGAAGAAGACATTCAACGTGAAGAGCCACGCCTGAACGGTAGGACCACCCCGCTGACTTGGGTGAAAGCATGGCGGACGCTGCGGTTTTAGCGGCATCGGCGACGGAAGAGTTGATTCGCCGGCCGGCACCGAAATCGTGACTCGAGGCTGAGTCATGGCCGCATTCGTCGCGTCGGGGTGTGTCGTGCCGTGGTCGTCGTCTCCGTCATGGCGGACGACGCCATCACTTGCGGCGCTCGCGGGTTGCCCCACACTTCCGTGCTGTGATGTCTGTGGTGCGGGCTGAATCGGAGTGCCAGGTGCTTGGGATTGTGCCCTTGTGAGGTCGTTTTGCAGGGACGAGCGTTCTGCCGTCAGCGTCGCGATTTCCTCGGCGCTCTCGCGGATTTGTCGCAGCAGATCATTCAAATGCTCCTGCGTGAGGGTCGTGACGTCAATATGTTCAGCCATTTCGAAGGACCACCATTGCGCTAATCAGGGTTTGAGCCGTCAAGGCTTCCGATCTAATAGCAACGTGGCTTTGATTATCTACTAGCCGACACATACGTCAGTACAAATGTCACTGGGATTCCACTTTCATTGAACAAAGTCATCGTTAAACATTATGTACAAAAAAATCATTTGGGGGCTACGTGCGGTCTTACGCACGTTTACGACCCGGCATCTATGTATAGGAGCCAAAAATGTTGACGGGGCGGAGACTGGAGTTGCAAATATCCTTGATCTGCGGACCTCAAGCGAGCCGCGAGGCCAGGCCGGAGTGGTACATGGTGTCGTGGAATGCCTCGCTCTCGCGTAGCTTCTGCCTTAGTAGACGAGCTTTCTCCGCACTGAAGGTTCCCCTTGTAGCAGTGTGTACGCCAACAGGGATTGAGCCGTCAGCAGCACGAAGTGATGCAGCCGAAGCCTTGGCAGGAGTGGACACCCGAGGCTTTTCTTGGAATGCGTCTGGGACGCTCAGTCTCTGAGGAGACTGGACGGAAAGCGATAGGTTGATAGGCGGCTGCGAGGGAACCGGCATTATAAATCTGGCGATGTCATGGGACGAATCGTTTTGCACACAGGCGATGGACTGTCCGAAGAGTGTTGAGTGGACTGACGAGGTGACGGTGTAAGCCATTGTTGCAGATCTAACTTCCGCAGAATGAAGTAGATAAGCTGGTAGCTTGATAAACCAGATCGAGAGTAATAGAAGGCTAATCTTTGTGGATAGACTGCTAATGGAATCTGGATATGGAGCCTTTGTACGTGCCTGTGGTACCGAGGGAAGGACGATGGTCGAGGCAGGGTGGGACTATGGGGCGAAAAAATCGCAGAGCGCAGGTACGGTTGGTGGTTGGGTGGACTAACCTGGTTACAGCTTGAAGGCTGGGGGGTTGTTGGAATAATCCAGGAGGTGCGGATGTGGCTGGTTTGGAAGAAATGACCAGGTGACTCTTGTTGGAAAGGTAATGCCCCTGCGTCTGATTCAGGTTTGGGTCCGAACTCATATTTCTGCAGCAGCTGGATATAATCTTCCGCGAGAGATGACAGGAAGAAGCTAACTTTGGTTTGAGAAGCAGTGTAGCATTATACCCATAATGTGCGAGAAAGAAACGCTTTTTGCCCTATCGGTTAGGTGTTCCTAAAAATGAGAGACTTGCCGTCGCCGCATCCCATGTGTCGTTTCCGCCCATGTGCCTCATGATTTCACCGAAATGTTTGCACGCTGTATCATCGCGGTGTTCGTGACCCAAATGCGACCACTGCGACCAGAATGACTGCCCCCCACCCAACCCCCCCACGTGAAAGGCAACTTCCATGTGGCGGCGATCATCAAGGGGGAACCGAACCGCAGGGAAACTGGATGACCGAGTTCAAATGCGGCGAGATGTCCGGCCCAAATTTCGGGCCCGTGAATTGCGTAAACTGGATGAGGGTGACGTGCTAACTTCAAATCATGCGTCAGCATTGAGGCTGACTTCAGAATCTCACTTGTAAGTGGCTCACTCAAGTAGAGAGTGATGGATGTGTATCATCTAGTGCTATACCTGTAAAAGACATGACGGTCATGGAAAGCATGTTAGGTGCTATTTTAACAATCATAATATATGTATTTTATCTAAATGGATTATTTTTGAAACCTCTGATTTTCCCAAATACCTATATCTGGAATGTGATAAATAACCGGGCTGGTTCTGTTAGAATGGCCGCTAAATCCATTGACTATTCAGACAACTTATAATTGGTCGCGTCATGGTACAATCGCGGACCCCGTTCTCCCCTCCCAACCAACCAAGCACATCACATCCCCATGACATCACTTGAGAAGACATGAGCTTTGTCATCCGCAGCCATGGACATTCCGCTGAAGTTTTGATACCAGCAGTTGTCACGGATAGCAATGGTGTGCTCCTTCGTCTTGGAATCCACGAGCCGTCTTGTCGTGAAACTGGTCTGGTCAGATAGGATGACGGTCCATTCACGAAACAATGTCCTGTCAGTCCTGTCCAACGCAGCATTGCCGATTTCGTGGCATGGTGCCATTGGTCTCAACGATGCAGATTCCATATTTTTTCATACAAGCTCTTCGCAATCATGGTACCACCATGTACGGACTCTTATTGGCGTCACCTCGCTGCTAATCCTGTGACTGGCGTGAGAGCAGACACGTCGACTCACGTGACTTGAAGGCAGGAAGAAGGCCTGAACCATCACAGAACGTCCCGTCATGGCCAGCAAGGGTTCTCTCTATCTCGGGAAACACCGCTGCGATCATTCTTCACTCCTGGTCCGTTCCCTGCGGCGACATTACATGTCGCGTCTTTGGCTCCAGCGTGGCATCAAGACCGCTGCTGATCGGCCGACGATATTCCAAGCCGCGATCGCTCCGAGGCTCCTAATTCGTGGTTCTGAAAGCACCAGGATCCATGCCTTGTCGGTTTTCTCGACGTGACTTCAAGAATATATGAGAACGCACTTGTGGGATTTCTGTATCAGCTTGTCCTGGTTGTGTTATACAGGGTTTCAGCCGTCGCTCTGCGACTGGCTCGGTTTCGACATTCCCAGGGTTGACTGATCGTTGGACTTTCTTAAGTTGTCCGTTGTGTCAGGGTCGTTCTGGGCCTTTCGAGAAACGTCTCCGAGGCCTTCGCCCTGACTTGCCGTGGCTTGCGCTGTTCAGGCAAAGGTCCGGGGGTCAGATTAAAGAGCTCGGAACCTGGCACTTTCAATGTCTGCAAGTTCAACCCAGATCCACAGCCAGGATTACGCCCAGTGATTTCTCTTCGTTGCGTTGGTCCCACATTCGTTGAATCCCCCTTGTACCAGCCAGCAGTACAAAAATCAGCATCATCTTCAGCATCAACTCCTGCGGTAGCTTCAGCATCAGCAGGAGTGTGCAAAGAGCAAGGTCATCAGCAGCACAACCAGCGGTTGCAATCCCGTGACAGACAGCCAATCAGACGGCAAGCCTTCCTGGGAAAGATGGCACGATCTCATCTGCCGTCCAGCACCTGGCGTCCCTCTGTAGCGAAGGACCATGCCTCTGCCCGTGGTTACAACTTTCCACGCGTTATTGTCACCTTCTGCGCAGTCACACTGCTCGTGCTCTGCTGCATGGTTCCCGTGGGTGCTGTCCCGCCTCCGGTGGTCGAGTGTGAAAATGGAGGCTCTGAGACGTGCACTGTCAACAACGCCTATGGAGCCAATTTCGATGGGGTCACTTGCAAGTAAGACGTGCGGGCGGAATGAGCGAGGAATGGGATGATTAGGGAAATGGAAGGAGCACTGAATGGGACGGTCAGGCAATGGGATGAGCAAGGAAGGAATGGACTGGCAAACAATCAGGCTTTATGTCTCTCTTTGAGCGCCATGGCAGCATGGATTTCTTCCTACTCTTCGCAATGGCAACAGCTACTCTCTCGTTGCGTTATTATTTCACACCACCGTTTGTTTGCATGGTTGCATCGACTGCAGGGCATCACGAGTGTTCTACCCAGCGTCTGAGGACGAGTTCATTGCTGCTGTTGCATACGCCAGCCAGAACAACCTTCCGGTATTTCCACTTCCCATATTTCCTTTTCCCAAATCGTATCTCCACTTACTTCCCTGTCTGTTTTAGTTTTCAAGCACTCCTCTTCGGCTGTATGCTGCCATGGCCACCTGCAAGTGGTTGGGACGCATATTAAGTTGGTGGCAATCAAATTGATGAACCAGATCCTGTATTTTCTCTGTGCAGTCACATCAATTCAAGGGATGTATTGGCTTAAATGTCATCCAATGGGCCTTTTGCCACGTGGCAGGTGAAGGTGGTGAGTCAGTTCATCCACACCACAGCCAAGTGGTACTGCCCAGGGGGGCAAGCAGGCGTCGTTATAGTCACAACCTTCTACAACAGCATTCAGCTCGACACACAGGCCATGACCGTCACTGTAGACGCGGGTGTCATGGTGAGTCCTTTTTGAGACGTCTCAAAAGGCGTGGTTATAGTCACAACACAACCTTCTATAACAGCATTCAGCTCGACACACAGGCCATGACCGTCACTGTAGACGCTGGAGTCATGGTGAGTATGAATGCCCATCACAGGCTGAAAATTCTTGTCCTTCAGGACAAATCACCTGTTTTTTGGGCACCTTGTTTCATTCCCGTTCAGCTGCCTCGCTGCCTCAGCCCACCATTAATGGGGCCCACCCTACCTTTCTTGACCAGTGACTGTTCCGCTGCTTCATTTTTATTGACCTACGCTACCTTGCTACTCTACAGATTTACGATTTCTTCAGCTACCTCGCTCGCCACAACCTCACTTTCCCCACTGCGCCCTACTGGGACGGAGTGACTGTGGTTGGGGCTATTGGCACCGGCTCACACGGCAGCACACTGCAGTTCAAGGTATCATTGGATTGTCTACAGTATCCTTCCACAACTCCAACAGCGTTAGCCTATTCATGCTAATATCTCCACTCCGGAAAAGGGGAATGTTCGAATCGTAAAATGAAGATAAACCAGTCCCCTTCCCATTCCCATCCAACCCAATGTCAGGGTGGCCGCATGGGAGAATACGTGCGAGGGGTGCGGGTGGTGGTGGCAGCAGATGAGGCGAGTGGGTGGGTGGGGGTGAGGGAGGTGAGCGGAGGAGACGAGCTGCTGGCTGCTCGCCTGCACCTGGGGCTGCTCGGAGCCATTTCCAAGATGACCCTCGAGGTCTACCCCATGTGGAAACGCCAGATTGTCTTCTACAACACCAGGTGAAGTGACCTGCGCAACAGTGCTAGGTACTATGGTTACCCTTTTTTGCATTCCTGTCCTGGTCATTTTCCTTTGTCGTTGCTTACTGTCCATATCATGTTGTGATGGACTATCACCCTCACAACTTATTCTGTCTTGTTCTGGTGTTTGTGTATACCCATCTGTTTCCTGCGCCCCACCCGATTCCATGCCACAGTGATGATAACATCGAGAATGAAATTCTTTCATTCGCTCAAAACACAACATTCCCGGACCTCAACTGGTATCCCTCCTCGTACAGGTAATACTCCACGCCTCGCTAGATTCCTTATTACGTTTCATCTCTTCATTTACATCTTCTGTGCATACAGAATGTGGAAAATACCCACCTCCTGCCCAATATAGCTGCTGAATACACAAGTTATTTGCATAAACACAGAGTGCCTTAAGATAGGCAGTTATCCATATTCATCCCTCGATCTTCCTCCTCGCAGTGTCTTCTGGCGTCGGGACAATCTTGTGTCAGTGGCCACACCAGGGGATGGTTCCTACACACTCCCTCTCTTCCCTGGCCGCCTTGAATACGTCTGGTCTGCTCTGGCTGCCATGGGTACGTATGTGCTTCTGTGTCTTGCTTTCCTGAACGTTCCTCCCTCTGTCTTCAGCGGTAATTTGGTTCCTAAACTTACTGCCCGTTTTTTCCCCCTGCCTCTGTTCAGACTACCAGTCTGAGGTCTCACGCAATGCAGACGAGCAGTGCCAGGCCTGGCTCAACATCCAGGTCCGTTTCTGTGACAATTCAGTTATACAAACTCCCCTCGTTTTACATTTCCTGGTTCCACTTGTTGAATTTCTCTGAGAGATGATTAGCAGGCTAACATGATGGGCTAACATTATGTCCACTCGAGGCATCTCTCACCTCCTCTGTTTGTCCATGACAGGTACCGACTCTGCTTGGCGGCGGCGGCGGTTTCACCAACGATGGCTCTTCCTTCTCATCATTCCCTGTTGGTGAGTCTTCACAGAAGAAATGGCGTAAGTTATCATCTGAGGGAGTAGTCCCATGGAGTTTCTGAAATAACAACAAATGGCACCTTTTCCTTCCATTTCTCACATGCCATTTCATTCCTCCATTGGTTCTTCAGTTGGATTCCACAACCGCATCCAGTCGTCCAGCGGGTGCGAATTTGCTCCAGACTACCCCATTGGCAGACAGACATGCGCCTGGGATCCTCGCATCAGTGGAATCAAATTCTTTGAGACCACCCATGTCATTCCACTCAGGCGACTCAAAGGTACAGTGCATTACAATGTGTTGTCAATAAGGGTGTATACAAACAAACAAATGCGGCACATTCTGTCCAGCCAGTGTAATATTCTGTACATGATGAAGCCTCATTCTCTGAGCATGCCATGTGGAATCCATGCATGTGACGTTTCCTTCCTTCACAGAATTTATTCTGACTATCAAGCGCATCCGGGACATGAGGCAGAATGCATTCTGTGGTGTTGGTCTGTATGGAGGGATCTTCTTCCGGTTCATTCGCGGGTCGACTACACTTCTTGGCAACAGTGAGGATGCGGCTATGGTGGACATTCAGTACTACAGAAACACAAATGTCTCCCACCCTCGCACAAATGGGGTGAGTTCAAATTGTGAGGACGCAATTGGAATATTGTTCATCAGTGCATGCTCAGCTCATCATGGTGGCACACATTCTTTGCCTTTTATCCCCGGTTTGTTGTTTGCTGCAGGACATCACTGACGAGTTTGAGCAGATTCAAGGGAGGCTTTTTGATGCCCTGCCTCACTGGGGAAAGAATAGAGATGTTGCTTTTGACAACATTCTGCACAAATTGCCGGGTGCGGCAAGGTTCCTGCGTGTCAGGTGAGAATGAAACACTGAAGTTCAAGTGGCTGACTTGGATGCAGTCTTTTTGCCAGTCTATGCATGGCCTTTCCCTGCTGAAGCCGATAATGTGTTGTATTGTATTGTATGCCATCCCTCCACTACCAGGCAACAATTTGATCCTCGTGGCTTATTTCTCAATGAGTGGGCCATGAGGGTCTTTCGCCTCAGCAGGACGCCTGTACAGATATACCGTCCGCTCTGTGCTTTGGAAGGTGTCTGTCACTGCACGGACGACTCCCACTGCAACCCAGCAGCTGGTGCTTTCTGTGCCAAAGGCTTGGTCTTCACCAATGCCACTGTATGCCGCCTTGCAACCGTTCAGCAATCTTGAAGAGTGTCAGATTCTTTAAAATCTATCTGCCGGCCAGCGTCAGGAGAACCTGTTTAATGATTCAGTGCGTTCTATGCACTTTATAAGCAAATGAGCATTACATACATGATAAATAGATACAAAGGAGGACTACATGAGCGCAGACAAAAAGGCAGGTGCTGCTGAGCTGCTGGAAAGCATGTATAGAGAAATCGCAATCAGTATCGTTCAGAAGTGTCAGTCGACGAGGTGTCAGCTGAAGCGGACTTCGTTCGACAGATGATGTTTAGCGCTTAATTTCGTCTGCGAGTTTTTGCTCTAACCGGTTGTTGAAATCGGATAATCGTCGCCATGATAAGGACATCTCTTGAGACTCCTTGCAGACATTTGAGCTCCTTCCTCCTAACATAGCACTCGGATTCTTCACGTGGACGTCACTAAAAAAGTCAAACTCGTCGCCAAGTGACTTCTGGCATGTCTTCACGTAAAACGGGTCGTACATGATGCTTCCCATGGTAGACTCCGAACTGATTGTTGAGAGCGACGCGTTCTGAAACAGCCTTCTGAAGTGAGAGTAACAAGAGCACAAGCTAGAACTTCTTTCAGACGTTGATACTCAGAACTGACAGGTCACTCAGACTAAGTGGAACAAGGTCACAGGCCAGAATCGGAGGAACTTAATCTGATGTTTGTACAACTCCACAACACACGAAAGATCACCAGGAACTAGGAACTTTAGAGGCCAATATGCCAGAACAACGAATATTCGCTTGCCTGAGAGCATTTGTTGTTCTCCCTGGTCTTGCAGAATGGATAACAGCGGCTTGAGGTAGTGCTTGGGCTGGTCCTGTCCTCTGGCTGGCGTTTGGCCTACAACACCCGGACGGACGGAATTGAGCGGAAGGTTCATATTTTCCAGACTTGCAGAAAACGCTCGATTCGTCGAAAAGCATATTCATGCCAACAACTCTGCCCAGTAGGTGGACAGCATGGCGCCATGTCACCTCTACGTCAACCACTCGAGCGCCATCACGATATCCGTTTCGTACTCCGTCAGGGTGAAGCGATTCGTGACGCCAGCAGATCGACGGCACTGGAGCAATTCCGTGTCTCGCACCTCCAGGGTATAATCCAGCGCACGGATTGGACGAACAAAAACTTCCCGAATCCTGTGAACCACACGGCTGCGAGTCTGCCTCGAATTCAGACGTGTGGGACAAGACAGAAACTCGATAACTTCAAGAACCGCTACCACTACCCAGAACTTTTGCGCACAGCCTTTATATATAACTTTATTAGATTGAAATAATGGTCTCATTATAAAATCCTTGTCCTAAATTGGAACGCTTTGACTTCTGGGGATGCCAACAGCAATAATATGTCCTGAAATAGGACGCAACGGTCTCATCCGTGCCAGCCAACTTGGGGAAGCAGAATGGGATGTAGGTCTGCCGAGTGAATTCAGCCTGACAACCCTTCGTTGAAACTCTTCCTTTCTTGACCTCCCTGTTCCTTGCACGGTTGCTGCCAACAGTGACAAGAATGTCGACCCTGACTGGCGAACCTCTTCCTCCTCCTCACCTCCTATGACTGCCATCAACTCTGCATTGACCTCAAATTCTTGGTGAAGCGCAGCGGATGCATCACCTGCTGATGCAGAAACAGCATCATCACACCCACAGCAACCATAACCTACCCCGCCTACTCCTCCCACTCGCATTTCCTCCCTCCCTGTGCATCCAACATCATCTCCACACTCTCCCACCTGCCTCTGCCTCCCTTGCCTAAGCTCTCCCCCCATCCTGCAGCTCGGTGTCAGCGGCCCTGACTTCGACACTCGCATCCCCCGCTGATTACCTCCCTCTTTTCTAGCTTGAGCTCCGGGCCCAGGTCTCGGCATTCCCTGACAGGTCTCCACTTTTTCTGGATCCGAGCCGCCATTGCCAGTTTCACGGACTGTCCTAGCCTCCAATCTCTCCGTCACACGAGCAGACAAACTCCGGACAAGGCGGAGGGGTTGACCTAGGTCTAACCTGCTCCGCACTGTCTCCTTTATGCCCGTGTTCCCACTAGATTCACCCTTCCTCCTGCTAGAGCCATTCGTGCTTCCACTCGCGCTGCTCGTATCTGCGTCCACGTGGCACCAGCTGTGACGTCTGCTGCTTCCGCTGCCCACGCTCCGCCGCCCGAAGCTGCGCCAGCGGCGAAGAACTCCCGGCTTTAGTGACGTGGCACCATCTGATAGGTCATCACTCCTGCATTGTGTAGTTTGGGTCCCTTGCAGAAACACCTGCTGCTTCGGCTGGAGATGCGGCGGATGGGGATACGGCGGCTGGGGATGCGGCGGCGGTTGTTGCTTCAGCACCGACAGTCGCGCGAACACGCCAATGCTTTTCGGCGGAGCGTCGTCTCGCGCTCGCGGGAGTTCCCAGAACGTGGGC